GTGAAAGCGAGGGAGAGGACTGGGGGAAGGTGGAACATCTGCTTCCTTGGCTTGTTTGTACGTAGCTAAATCCTCGCTCTGCTTATCTGTCAAGAAAGTTTGCAAATCCAAACAACAGCAAGGAGACAGTCTTGGAGACGACAACTCCCTTTTGATCTATGTGGCAAAAAGGCTGCAGCCCCACCCCCAGCCCTTCTGAAGATTTGTTTTGGGTTGTTTTTAAAGGTATATACGGACATTTAATAACCTACCGGCCTTAGCCGGGGGCGGGCCCTTTTCCTTTTTTTTTTTTTTTTTTTTTTTTTTTAATAACCTGTACCTTGGCATAACCTGTCTCCTGCAGGTCCCAGAACAGCTTGCTCCCGAAGACAGAGCACCCACAGCACACGCCAAAGCTGAGCTCCTGCTTTTTGTGCTGACGCTGTGGAAGTACCTGGCGGTGTGTGGTGAAGGTTGCCCAGGTTTTGCCTTTGCAAACCCCAGGCGTGTCCCGCAGACCGACCGGGCGACGTAGCTTTTGGCTGAGCTGCTGCCAAAACCGCCGTGGTTACACGTGAGGAAGCGCTTTGAATTTTGCTTTGTACGCAGCCTCCGATTTCCATGAAAGTTTCACGACCCCCACGATACGCACGCCGTAACGCAGCTGTTCCTCACTCTCCCTCTGTCGCTCGCGGCCCCAAGGCAGCCAGCAGCCTCTCCAGTCCGCGTGCAGGAGGAAAAGCAGCAGAGCAGATGAAGCAGACGAGCCTCATCTCCGCCCAGTGCAGACTGGGAACCCCTGGTTTGGGGCTGGGCACAGAGGGGCTGGCCGCTCTAGGGTGCGAGTAGCGACGTGGGGCATGCCAGTAACGTAATTCCCTTGGAAATCAGCTTTGTAGAAAGGGTAGTTTCTTCTTCAGCTTGTATGTTCTCTTGACTTCTGTATGCTGGTTTCTTCTCTCGTGCTGCTCCGTGCATGCATTGTCGTGCAGACGATGTTCTGTTTGTCTGACGCTACAGAACTTGCTACAAACTGAACTACCCACTGGTCTTTTCTCGTCATTATAGCGTGCTTGGAATGCAAGCTCAGCCGTGCTACGGAGTGAAATGTAGTCCATAAGTATTTGCGCCTCAAAACCAGTTTTCACTTAATGTAAAGAAAACTCTACATTGTATTCCAGCCTCTCTCATGAGTCAGAGCACGTGTAACACTTTACCATGTTAAATCATATTTCCCTACTCAGATAACTTCTGTTGTGTTTTCCACAATTGCAGACAAACAGCTCGGTCTTAGCAGTCAGAAACCTTCAGTTTGACTGTAACACTCTCTCTCCAAAATAGGGCAGTGTTGCCTTACAGGTATTTACAGCGACAGGCTCCTGCCCTAAAACTCAGCAGGAGGTCAAAGGTGCTAGGCAGGAGATCCTCCTGTGCTGGCCAGCAGAAGAGCTGGTTTGCACCTACACTGGCCAGTTAAAGGGGGGCTGCCCCAGCTTAGCAAAAGTTACTCACCCCAGGAGCCTGCACCCTGCCGCAGTGTCCCACGCCAGCGAGATGACAATGTTTCCCTTTGTTGTGGTGGGTGTTTTTTCCTTCTGAAATGGGAAGGCTCCTCTGGGTTGGTTTACAGCTTCTGAGCATTAGTAACAGTGGTGTCCTGTGAGACGGCATCGCTGCCTCTTTACCTGACTCCGTGAAGAGCTGTGCTGCACGCAGCGTGGTTAGAAACCTGTGCCTCTGCCTGCCCGCCCCGTGTGATGCCCCTGTGTGCCAGGTGCCCGGGACTGACCTGCTTGCTTCTTCCTGTAGGACAGAGCCGCTGTTTCAACCTGGGAAATGGTGGAAGGAGGGCAAGCACACCAGCAGACCGAGAAAAAAAGCTGATCCTTCATCCTTGGACTTGGTGGTATTTTTTTATTTCAGCTGCTTGGGGAACAGTTGTAAATACTTTCCAAATAAAATCTTTGGAACAGGATGGCTAACAACAGTTCTGTTCAAATCATGTTGGAGCTTTGAGACTGCTGCTAGGTGTGCGGGTGCTCACACAGCGCAGGTGGTGGCAGCACGGCAGCGGCTGCGTTGGCTGGCGCGGGCCCGGCTGTGTTCCAGCGCAGGAGATGCCCCAGCCCCAACAGCTGCAGCATCTGCACTCGGGCCCTGTTTTGCTGAGCTGGCAGTGGGGATTAAACCATGGTGAAGACAGAAGCGAGAACTCAGTCCTGTCTGAGGGTGAAAACACTTCAGTTTTGTGCCCACTGGTTCAGACAGTTCTGTTTATCTCAGGCACAGGGGTGACCCTTTTAGCCCTGAAGCGTTTCCTCATCGCGGTGTTGCTGCTTTGGTTGGTCCTGCGACAGTCTTCACCGTAGCGTGACAGGATCCGGTTACCTGTAGGCCTTGGTATCAGTTTGCTCTTGCACAGGAGACACTGAGAGTTCCCTAGCGCTGGGAGTGCAGCACGCTCAGGATCTCTCCCTCAGAATGGGGAAGATAAAATTAGCGTGTTTGGTTATTTCCTCCTCTGTTACTAATCCCCTGCAAAGTAAGTAGCCTGCGTAGTTTTCAGAAAGTATTAAGTGTCAGTATTGAAAAGCAAGTGGCTCTTGTACCTTGTGGGATAATATCCATACAGGCAAGCATGCCTTAAATACCACAAGAGGTCAGCTCAGCCTGCCTTTTTGGGGTTTTTTTTTGCCATGTTTGTGTTTAAAAAAAAAAAAAACAACGCCCTGCTGCAGGTAGATGGAGCGAGGCCTGCCTTGCGCACCAGGAGACCTGTGGTCTGCTGGCTGCGTGTACAGGGGGCTTGCACTCACCTACCGGCTCCCTTCTTTAAATCAGTTTACGAAAAGATAACAAAAATAACAAGACTGGCTTGTCTATGAGGAATTTCATTTGCAAGTACAATTCACTTAAATACAATTCACTTAATCTAATCTGTCCAAGAGGCTAAAGGCTTCCTTTTATACTGTTAAGTAGAGAATAAAACGCAGAGTGGTTTCGCTGCTCCCATTCCAGTTATCGGTACTCCCAGAGAAGACGGGGTGGGGTGGTCTTCATCGGCGCTGTGGCAGGTGCGTATGTGGCACTGTTGGTATTTCAGCTGTGGTAACGGCGGCAGCGCTTACGCCGGTAGCAAGCCAGAGCGAAGGGCAAGCAGCCAGCTCCGCTTCTGGGAGAAACCCGATCGGAACACACCAAACCAAGCACATGCAATTCATTTGCTATTATTTTTATTTATTTCCTACCAGAAGAAACTGCTACATTTCCAGAAAGTTTTAAAAATTGTTACAATTTGTATACATTAGTGAATAACAGAGTTACAGCTTCTGGGTAGAGCAGGTTGATATCTGTACTGAGCTCTGTTAATTGATTGACTTTGCCTAAAAATGCCATTTAGATTATAACACTGCTGATGTTCTAAATACAAAAAAATGCTAATTTCAAAGGAAATCCAGTAGCTGTTTTAAAATCAGTTTTAACCTTCTGATTTTATTTAAAAGGAGTTGGGGCTTCTCAAATAGTTTTAAGGGGAAAAATGCCAGTAGCTTAGTTTCCCCAAAGATGTAGACAGTTTACAAAACTGCTTAAATTGAACACCAAAACCCCATCTCCTATGAGCAGATGTTGCTCTAATCTAAAAAGTCTGTGAACCCTCATAGACCAAAATGAGCAAACATTTAAAAACCTATTTTAAAAATAGGCAACTGGTTTAAAAAGAAAAAACAAAAAAAAAAAAATGCATCGGGGTGAGGTAGTAGTCACAGTGCATCCAGAAATATCAACTCTAAGGGCAGAAGGGAAATACTCGAGCAGCTTTTCTGGTTCCAGGTGCTTTCTGTGGGCAGCTATTGCAAGGTAACGAGAACGCCCTCGGACTGGCACACACGCCGTCGTACTCCAGTCTACAGCTGCCTCACTGGAAAAGAGTGGCTGCAGCGAGCGTGTAACACCTACTGCAGTAACCAGACACAGTGTGTGCTTGTTTCTGTAAGGAGTACGTACACGTGGAGCTAGCTTGTAGGTTTAAGGGCAGCACCCACTTGCAGACCTTCAGGAAAGTTTTGTAAGTGTACTTGGCACGAGCTTGCCCCTCTCTCCATATTGGTTCAACCCCTACAAGCATTGACTGAACTTCCAAAAAATTTAAGAAGCGATACTGTGCGGAATCCCACGCAACTCTCCCTTCGCGCCCAATGCTCCTCTGCCCTGCCGGCGAGCCAGACGGCTGCGGCCGCTGCAGCAGGAGTCCTGTATCTCATGTCAAGGCAAAATTTGCCGGCTCCGGCCGCTGCAGCAGGAGTCCTGTCTGTCTTGACAAGACAAAAAGCCCCCGGGGCCCGGTGCTGCACTCGGCACCCGAGCACCGACCACCGGCTCTCTGCTCCTGCGCAACACCCAGAGCATGCGCAGACCGGCGCTGCTCTCCGCCTGTTGCTCCCTCCGTTCGCATCCCTGCTGGTCAGCAGCTACCCACAGCGACCCTCTCGCCGCTCTGACGCGGCAAGGCCACCCGAGTCTCGAAAGCACCTCGCTCTGCCGCCATCACCGAGTCCGACCCGCTCCGTTAGGGATCGCTGAGTTGCTTAGCCCGCCTCGTACCTCTCCAAATGATCATTTCACAAAGTTCATCATACCGAGTTCTCGGTGACTCAAGGCCAGCTAAACAGACAGAAAATAACTTTTCTTCGGGTAAGCGTGATTACTGTTTAATGCGAAGATACCGACAGTATATCCTTGTATCTGCGGTGGGGGAACCTGTTCCGAAAACCCCAAGTTGTGTCGAAACGAACGCTGCCTCTGGGACCGGGAATGGGAAAAGGCAACTAATTACATTCAAAATCTACAGCATCTCTCATGCATTCCCTTTCCAAAGAGGCTTACTTCTTGCTTCTTAATATACTAGCATGGCAAAAAATGAAGTGCAATAGCTAATTCTAGACAGAGGGTCTAAGAATGAAAGTAGGACAACCTTGGTGCAATCCAAAAAATTCAGTCGAGCTGGTGGAAAAATTTTAGCTAAGTATCAAGTGCATTTTGTTTTTTTTGCTGTTCACACTTTAGTTATTGCTCAATAACTATCAAAAAGAACAGAGGAATACTTTCAGCTTAGTTTTATTATATTATAACAGATCTGCAACTACAGCTTATTTCAGCCAAACCTTTTTTGTATTCCAAACTCTTAAAAAATATCTACATTAATCATATTTTTCTATTCTTAAAAATAAAAAAAACGAAAATCTACCTAGCATACCAATGCTGCTACAGCACTTGAAAGGGTGCATTACTTATGTAAATTCTACGGCAAATGTAATTACTCTTGCAGTCATTGTTCTTCCTTTTCTTCTTCTCCTGCTGCTTTGGCTTCAGGTTTCAAAAAGTTTGTTAAAAGCTGTTCCAACTTCTGAAACCATGTCAGAGGCGGTCATTGAACGTCCAAATTTTTGAAAGGCTTGGTGGTTAGACTGCCTTGTGAGAGAGCAAGCTCCAAATGCAGCCACGAGAAAGGGGTTTTCACTAAAAGGAAAAAAAAAAAATAAGAAAAACAGCGTTAGAAACAAGATCTGAACGCTCCTGTGTGATTCATAAGGTGGTGGACGTAATCTTTGTACCCACAGATGTTTGTCAGTGTTGTTGGGAAAGCCTCTTAAGCAAACATCTGTGCTTCTCAGACTCTTGCGCTGCAGAGCACCTTTGCTGAATTTTTTTTTAACACGTACTTCCCCTCCCCTGGCACAGCTCCTGACTGAATGACAAACACTGCCAGGGCTGAGGGATGCAAAACCAAAACATAAAGAGTAAGAAGGTGTTCCATGTCTGGTTTTACCGATGTGACTCTTCATCCTTCCCTTCAGAGGAAGCCTGCGGTCCCACCCGGCAGCCTGTTAACTCCCTGTCCTCTCCCCTCGCCAGGCAGCTCGGTTCTGTTCTCCCTGACAGGGAGTGGGGGAAGGAGGTGGTGATGCAGAGAAGAGATGGGTGCTAACGGTCGCAGTCGCTGCTCTGGGGCCTTCACCGGACCAGCTGAGCGGGTGGTACAGCGACAGCCGCTGCCGGCCGGACAGCGCCGGAGCAGAGGGAAATGGCCGCGGAAGGACGCGGCAGCAGCCCTGGGTAAAACCCCCCACAGCTCAGCTGTGGCCCGTCAGTCGCTAGGGACCTACTGACGCCTGTGCCCAGCGAGAGTTTCATGAAGGGTCACGATGTAAAGCACGGGCAAAGCAGAGCGTGAGCTTATGACTGGGTGTTACCAGAGCAGCTTCGAGCAGCTTTGCCCTGAAAACAGCAACTTTGCACCCTGACCAAGGTGCAGGACCGCGAGTCGATCCTGCATGCCCAGATACCGCTCTGAAACAAGAGCACAGGCTTCAGGGCTGAAGACAGCCAAAGCCCCCATCTCCAAGGTCACCGCACGACCAGCTTGCTACACGCCGCGCTCCGAAGGGACGCCGGAGCACCCTGCCTACTTCACAGGAGATCTGCTCCCCACCCATCTGCTCTACCGTTCGCACCCCCGAAAGCCAGTGCAATTGCCACGTTTGAAGACCCCGCTCTGTGCGGGCCTGTTGTGGAACAGCAGAGCCAGGCCCGAGGGTGGCAGGACCAGCCAGCCTGCCCGCTGATGCCCTCGACCACCAGACCCACAAAGCTTCTCCCCCCGAAACACCCGAGACAAACGGGATTGGCACAGCGGGCCTTTGAGAAGGGTCATCTTCACACCACCGCAGGAGACACAATGGACTGCTGACGCCAATTACACTCTCCCATTTTTCCTTTGCCTACGAAATAAAGGAGTGTGAGCGAGCTGTCTGGAAAAGCCACAGGAGCCCAAGGCAGGAGAGGCTGGAGAACACATGCTGTGTTTGCTAATCTCTCCAGCAATTTAATACTGATCTGTCGTACGCCACGCAAAAATGAAGTCACCCTTTTTCATGAAGTAAAACAAAATTACTCCTTTAGTGGCAGCTGCACATACACAATCTGGGTTTCGTTTTTCGTTCTGTTTTCGTTTTTCGTTCTGGGTATGTCCGATGTCAGAACTGTTAAGTTTGGTTCAACTGGTCCCTCATTCCTCCTGTGGTGTGGACCTCATGCCATGCTCTCACAGTAAGGCGACCACAGAGTAGTTAACTCCTGTGGCCATCTAATCGTGCGCATCTGCACGTAGCATCCAAAAGCCTACAGAAGATCTCCACTCCTCAAGCTTCAACAACTCGTTACGTACTGTCACTGCCCAGCTGCTTGTGTCAGGGTTCCTTTCAATTTTGAAGCGGCTTCTTTCACAGAAAGACTACACGACCATATGGACCGACTCCTCGGAAGGAATGGACGTAAATTAACAGAAGGGCCGACAGCCCGCTACCGGTGCATGGCCTTAAAATGGCCACTTGGCCTTACAACAGACACCCTCTTTGGAACGGTGCAAGTTTCAGCTTACCTGCCCCACTGAATTACTTGGGGACAACACGAGAGGATTCACCAAAGTACAAAACCAAAGCTAACAAACACATTTTTTGAATTGCAGAGATGTTACTGCCAGTGACTACCACTTACATACTCTTCATACTGTCTGCCTACATTCAACTGTTTTGAAAACACATACCCCATACATATATGTCCTTGGGAATGGATCCAGGTTCACACTCTTCTTCTGCCTCAAACCTGGGAGATGTCAGATGACTGCAAAGTTTGTCCTATTAATTGTAACTGTTACGTAGACTGCTCTAGAATACCCTTACATCTTTAAAAGCACATGGATACCTTAGTCCCAATGACTCCAATGTCATTTGGAAATTCCTACAGCAGGCCTACAACAGTTGCCACAGAAGAACACAGACTCACAAGAATTAAGAAGTTATTAATTAATATTCATACCCATTTGTTTTTTCTGCTCCAGCAAGAAATGCCCAGTGCGCTAAGACTCCAAGAGAACCAGACAGGAGGTCCCCCTGTCCACCACATCGCCGGCTGCTTCCTTCGTGACTGCATACAAGTACTACAAACAGACAAAGAAAAAACAAAGTCATGGGCATTTTTTCTTCCATTTACAGTGACAGCACCGTAGCTGTGAGGGTTAACTTCTGAGGCACACAGAGATTAATCACAGGCAGCAGCATATGCTGAAACACACTATTCTTAAAAAAGGATTATCGCATTAACATTTAAAAAATACTTTTCTAATTAATTTTCAATTATTTGCAAGTAACATCGCACAATGTATAAACCTTCTCCACGTCACTCAGCCTGCACAGAAGGTTCAGTCACCGATGAGTGAAGTGATTCACGTGAACTGATGCTGCCATGATTTGCAACCACCGCAAACCGCACCAGGGCCCTCCACAAAGCCACTGCACAAACGCAGCTCTCCAGAGTCCCTGACCTTCAGAGTTCACAAACGTAAGCCAAGGTGTTTCACAAAGAGCAAATGCAAAATAGAATTAAAACCTCAAATCCTCTCCCATGCCCACCAGAAAGGTATTTTGCTGAGAACAGCCTTCTCCTTAGGCTTTGTAAAGACCATATGCAAAGAGAGATCTCTCTTTCTGCCAGTCAACAGTGTCCTGAGCATCCGTGCGTGTTTCCGCCGGCAGTGTCACTGTGGGCAGGCTCTGTCAGAATATCAGATCTTACATTTCTATTTTAAATATACAAAGGACCTTGGTCAAACTGATCTCTTGGTGGAGTTTTAACTATGAAGAACATGCAGATGGTTTCACTAAAATTTAACTCCTTTGTTCTCCACTCTCAACAAGCCCAAGCAAGAAGCCTGAAGGATACATAAGGCACACAAAAAGAAAACAGCATCAATTCTATCACCGTTCTCCAAATTCTCTCGTGAGTATGTATCTACCCTTAGCTTTCCCTCTTGCTTGGCTCTGAGAAAAAAAACAGGAGAAATTTGTTTTCCTCTCCTAAGAGAACAGAAGAGCTGGCAGAATCCTTGGTGGCCAAGGAGCGATCCTTTGCATCTCCAGTCAGCCGCCACGGAGCCACTCAGGTTCAGGGCTACGCAGACAATCGCTTCTGCGCTCCTCAGCATGACAAGTGCACCAGCAAAGTATAAAGCAAGACGTCGCTTGGGCAACAGCTCTCACCTCCGTTTTCTCAGGTCACCTGGGCTGGGTTTCTCCACCGTGTATGAACAGAGCAGCCCCGGTGTTTTAGAGGGAGTACTATCCATATTTTTAGAAGGAATTTTTCTCTTACAAAATAATGGGGAAAATCTGCACAGAACTGAAGGACTTGCAGGTAAACCCTCTTAAACAGCAAGATGTAAAAAACCTACTTAACGCAAGCAAACCCTTTCCAGTTCATTTGCGTGGTTCATTTCTGCTTTTTGTTACTCGGTGGCATGAAGAATTGTACTTCACTTCCATTTCCTACCGATTCTCCCAGCAGTAATTGCTGGGCTCGTGAGGCCAGGCAGCGGTGCATTTTTGCTGCCACTGAGAGGGCAAAGATTCATCAGTCACCATCAACACAGCAGACACCGCTGCAGCGTCGCCAGCAGTTAATTTCCCCAATCACTCTCCTCCCCTCCCCCTTCCCTCCCAAATTAAGATTCTGGATGCGTTTCTCAGTGAGCAGTAGTTAATGTCAAATTTCACAAGTGTAATGCTCTTCTGAGTTAGCCATTTGAAAAAGGTACGCCCTTTCAGGCGGCGTGGTTTAGTTTTTTTTTAAATATACAGTGCTTTGGAGAAATTACCTCTAATTCTGCCACTTTGAAGATGGTATCTCACCGGATTTTCACTTTGAGGGCTTGAACCTCCTGGCAGGAGGCAGGATGGAAATCCTCTGTTCAAAAGCTTCGGGGCCTTCTGACTGACAGCTAAGCGCAAGCCCCTGCTTATTAGCTGTGTGTCACCATCTGCCACTATTCTCTAGCCCCACAACCTTCCAGTCAGTTTTGAGCTGTACAGGAAAGCAAGATCTCCTCAAATCAGGCCAATTATAATACCCTGCTACAGAAGGAAAAAAAAAAGCCCTGGTCTTTTGTTTGTGTTTTTTTAAAAAGTCAGTCTCAAATATGCACAGACTACCTCACAGCCAAGAACAAAAGCAGACCTTTGTACTATGCACAGAGATGCTGGGAAACAAATCCACGCAATAGCTTCAAAGCAGCAGAACTACGGGAAATTCACTTGAATGAGGGGGGAAAGGTATAACACTCGGGCAATTCTTGCGCACAGGCTCAGCTCCTCAAAGAACACCTCAAAATAAAAGGATGATGCACATCACAACAGGCAATGGGAAAAGGAATGAAAAGCTCCCTTGAAGTACAGACACTGTTAAGAGCTTTTATGATAAAAGACTTCTAGAATCCCACACTACCGTCAAGACCAACAGGCGTACTGCCAAACCCACGCAGGACAGTTTCTTCTCCTGGAACAAGCAAAATGAAACTGCTGCCTTCCCACTCCCCCAACCCAATGCCCCCCACTAAATGCCCGCGATCCCCAGGCCAGCTCAAGCAGCTCTCTGAGGACCACGGGTGATGACGTCCTTGCATGCTGCACTGAGCAGTGACAACCAGTGGCAACGTTACAAGACCTCGATTAGACGGACCTGACTGAATAGTCAGCAACAATGCCGAGGGAGCAGGTAGCTCTACTCCCTAGAGAGCTGCAGAACGACGTATTTCCAAAGGGATGAAGTATTTTTTGGTCCATTGCTCAGGGAGGCTATACCACGCCCAGCTAGGGATGAACACGCACATCACAAAGCCTAGAAAAGGGGGTTCTTCATCTGGAACAGCTGAGGAGACCAAGACAACTGAATGCTGGACAAGAGGGAAACTGCAAATACTGAAATCACCACAACGCGTCCACATTGAAAGGCAGCAACCCGAGCCACTGAAGGTCAATTAGTCTGACGCTAGTCCCGGTCAACTCAATGGAGAGGTTCATCTGTAGTTCAGCTGAGAGACCTGAAGAGCTAGAAGCACACAACTAACGCCGGTCAAATCGGTTGCTGGGTCTGGGTCTCTTGTTTGGCTTTTAATAGGTCTGGGCAACCAAATCTGATGTCGTTATTTGACAGGGTGATGGGCACAAACTGAAGCACAGGAAGTTCCGTCTGAACATGAGGAAGAACTTCTTCCCTCTGAGGGTGACGGAGCACTGGAACAGGCTGCCCAGGGAGGTTGTGGAGTCTCCTTCTCTGGAGATATTCAAGACCCACCTGGACAAGGTCCTGTGCAGCCTGCTGTAGGTGACCCTGCTTCGGCAGGAGGGTTGGACTAGATGACCCACAGAGGTCCCTTCCAACCCCTACTATTCCGTGATTCTGTGAATCCAAAAAACAACTCAGTATAATTAATGAACTGTCTTTTAATGAAAGCTGACTTATGCCAAGCAGCTTTCTGGAAAAAAACAAACTTACTCCCTAGCACTTACCCATGGAGCATACATAAACTGTCATAAGAAAAGCCTAGATGAAATAAAAATGTTATCGCTGAAGAAATCGCTGAATGAAGTATGGCAAGGGGATCTGCTGGAGTCAGAAGAACCACAGCCCTGTTCAGCAGTTTCAACACAATCTTAGCGATTAAACAGCACATAAATATTGCCAGAGCTGTACGCAGCAACTACAATACATCCCTCACATACAGTCACCCGAATTTCTTCCATACTTAAGTCCACTGAAACAGTTTGTGCTGAAATAGGAATGCAACAGAAACAAAAAAAATGAAGGCTGTCATATTGACAGAGTATCAGAAAGTAGAAATTCAAGAGTTTTAGGTTCCACACAATTCAAAATTCTGTCCCAGACATCCTGCATAACTGTGGCCAAATCATTTAGTAGCTCTATTCTTAATATATTTCAGGCCAGAAAATAAGTTACCAGCACCCCCTGAAGATAACAAACATTAGCATTTGGGAAAGCATTCAGACCATGGTATCGTGCTTAACTACACCATTGCCAGCAAGTTTTAAGCTGAAGGAACTCCCAGCCCAAACTGTGCTGGCAAATCAAAGCCCAGAATAATGACCCATTAATGGGTATAGTATGCTTAATTAAAAAAAAAAACAAAACCACACAACAGCCTGTTATGTAACTGAAAATAGCTGCCCTCTCTTTGAAGGGAAAAAATTTAGAATTTAGTAGTTTTGCTGAGATCAAGCACTACGAGTTAACTGGGAAGCATGAATTTTGATGTGGCTGTAGACAGGCAGCCCTACTTGCACCACTAACTCCTAGACACATTACAGTTAGAAACCCAAAGGCCCACGTAGTATAAAAAGTAATGTATGCCTGGGTGTTCTTGATTCGCAACATTCACGGTGGTGGGGAAAACCCCCCCCCCAAAAAACAGGGCTTCATTGTTGATGTTTTTGTCTAGAACACAGAATGTGAAATATGGGAGAGCTAAAGGTTAAACACGTAATACTGACAATGATCAAGAAGGCCACAAGCCTATGTGAAACATCACACGTACTGAGGCTGCAGACCTGGAGACAGTCTGGAGATTAAAATTTAATTCCTGTATCTCGGATGTCCTGAACAAGTTCTCTGCACTTGTTTTCCTCTTCGAAAGCAGGAGTACTATACCTGTCCTAATGTGCTCTGAGATCCGTGCGTGAAAGTGCAACCATGCTGACTTCTGATATGATCCAACTGGATTAGGTCAGCTAACAGCAGCTACCCCACAGAACAACAAATACTCTCATTTAATTAGGAAGGTTTAAGATTTCCATTTTCTAAGCAAAATAATGTAGCTGTCAAGGATCATTTTGCTCCATCAAATGGAAGATTCGTGTTCAGACCATTATCAGATTTGAATAAAACCTTTTACCAATATACATCTCTGACCTGGCAGATATTCATACCAGTAAGAAATTTATCTTTTTCCTTTTGCAAGTTAGTTCACAAAAGTGCATAGCTGGAGATCATGGACTCCCAGAAACATGTCCCAGAATGCATACAGACAGGGAAACCAATATTAATGACCTGGGCTGGAGAAATCACTCAACTGATGTGGAAAATGTAAGTTGGCTTTTATATAAAGGGTGCTTATACTTTTATATTCCCTAATCACACTTTTAAAACTTAGCTAGGTCCTTGAGTGCGAGACACCAGGGAATTTAAGTTAAAAGAAAATAATCCACATTTTGCATTCCTTTCCTCGGCTAGGTGCAGCAGCCGGGGGTGGGGGAGGATGTGACGGCAGACAAGCAGTGCCAGGGACACAGCAGGCTGGGCCGTGGGCGCAGTGGAGGGCACAGTGGCCAGGAGTGACGACCTCCCCGTTTCCCTCGCCCTGCAGAAGCAGGACTGGAGACGAAGGTACTGCCTCTCAGTTAAAATCCTGGCAAAATTTGCTGGGCAGCTGGACACCACAAGAGCTTTTAGGTCAGTGAGCTAGGGACTAACAGGCACTGAACAGCTTCCTCTCCAGCTCTACAGGGAATGAATGGCTGAAATCAGAAGTACTGCTTGGGGATTTCTGAGAAGAGCTGGCTTTTCACCCCATATTCAGTACACAGTAATCCCTCTCAGATGCTTCTTAGTTTCTCTCCAGTTGTCCAGCTGCAGCTGTGGTCAAGAGAAGCAATGTTGGGCTACTGGCTCCAGCTAAAAGTAGTCACAGGCAGCAGCTGGTTACCCAGGATGTCTTCCCCTGCAAAAGGCAGACTAACACAGGTGCTGGGGAAAATACAGACAAAAACATCATTGTAACACTAAAAAACAAAAATCCAAATACTCACTTCAAGGACCTAACCAAATTTTAAATATGTCAGGAACCAAGACTGGTATAACCACACTTTATTATTGACCAGTTCTCCAAAGAATAATAAAAAGAAAACCTCAGAGAGCTGTGCCATAGTGAATAAAAGCTGACTTACCTTTTACCCACAGGCTGAGTACTCATTCCTACCCTGGTCAGTGATGGCACTGATATCACCTACCAAGAGCATGGTGAAGCTCATCTTTGTAGAGCAGGGAATCAACAACTGTAGACCAAGCTATAACGTGAAATTTCAAAAGGAAAGAGAAAAAGAGTATATAAAACTTAATTTAAAATCTTGGTGATTATGTTTACAGGGCAGTTGGCAGCTCATAACTGAAATGGAGACAAATTTTAGAAAAACCTCCTTTACAGTGGAGGACGGCTACCGATTTCAGAGAGGCCATGTACGTGATTCACTACTGATTTTAAGACCGTCAGGAAGCACCTGCATCATCTAATCTGATCTGTAGAAACAAACCTCAAAGGCATCCAGACACTTCACAGTCTGGCAATCTATCAAAGTTCTAGGTATGTTGCTGTCATAGCCGATTTCTTTGCCTGCTAATAAAATCTGCCTTACTTTTAATAAAAATTTATTAAGCTTTGGCTGCCAATCAGAATTCACTATGCAGTCTGCTTAGATTAGAGAGCTGTCTGCTGATGGTAATCCTTCACCAACACCTGTACTTCCCGCTCACTATCAAATCACCTGATAACCTTTTTTGTCTTCAACTAACAGAAGTAAATTGTCGACTGAATTTCCTACAGGCTCATGAATAAAAGAATTGTGACAATAACCACTACAGTCACTCTAAGCTATAAAGTATTCACCAAGCCAGCCTTCCCTGCTGCAAAATTCTGCATCCTCAGAAAGCCTTCCTTCCACAACAGCCAAGCACAGAACACTAAAGCTGCATTGTTAAGTTTGCAATTTCTGGTTTTCCTGGAGAGAGCACTGAGACTTGCTTCTTTTTTTTCTTTCTTTCTTCCAGAAAGCAGCCATGCAGTATATTCCCGAAGGAGAAAGTTTAAAACTGACCTATGGAAACTACAGTATCGGTGTGCTAAGCACATGAGCTCAAGGAGGAAATGCCTGAAAACAGGTACGGCTTAAGCACTACGGATGATGACATGAAAAATAAAAGGCAAGAGGAGTACACAGATCTTTTCAGAACATTCGATTGTGCTCAGAAGACATTGGCCTGATCCAATGATCTGGACTTCCCGCACACTGGAATCATGATGTATGTTGTCTTAGCTGAAAAAAAATGGCATCAGATCAAAAGAACAGACAGATGAAAAGAGAGGTTAAGAGCAAAAAACCTGGGAGAGAATTCAAGGTCAGTGACATGACAACATGTTCTGCGTTGTGGCACAGAGCAGACAGCAGAATCTCCTTTCTCAATGTAATTTTGCATTTGAGAAGCTTTTAAAAAATTGACCGACAGACTCCCGGACACAAAGAACATTCTTGTTAAAAGGAAGCTGAAGTCTATAGATTCTGCTTGCAAGCAACACAAACCCTAAAAAGTGTAACAGACATTATAACCTGTATTAAACTTGACAACTGCTTTGTTACAGCTCAGCAATGCTGCCTGTAATGCCTGTAATCCAGGAGAGAGAAAGCATCAGTCATAGAACCAAGGCAAGAACAACAAAGCAGTCTACAGCTGTCACTAAAAAAAATGCTATAAAGGCACAGAACTGTTTTTATTTCAAATCAAAAAGCCAGTTAACTAAGAGAAAAAAATATCAGAACACAACAAAGAACAAGGATGAGGGAGGGGAAATAAGAACAAGGAAAAGCCCCAAAAGCACACGGGACACACACCAAACTTGTGCCACATCCGAACATTCAAAATTGAAACTGGAAAGAGTTTCAGTTGTCTCCTGGTTTTCTGAGTCCTGCATGACCAGAGCCAATGGAGTCGGAGTGTCCCCTCTCTCCAGCAATGATGGGAGTACACTTATCTCAAGAATAACAGCTCAAAAGGAGAACAGAGATATATACTAGGTAATGTGCTCAGTCTAAAGTGCTCACCCAGTTTTCCCAACATTCATTAAAAAAGCAACAATCCTGCGTAAAAAGAACATTTTTGACATAAAAACAGAGAAAGAAGAGATACTACAGTGCTCTAAAGCTCTCTAGCTGGCATATCCTGGTTCCAGTTTATTTTATCCTCTGGCAGAGTTCACTGTCCCTTAAGCCCAGCCTGACTGTCCAAGGTTACAAATCAAGTCTGCTGTGGGTGCAAATACGACAGCAGACTTCATGCAGGGCGACTTGGGTACTACACGACTGACTAAAGCCCTTCATCACATCAGCATCACTATATTGCTTCCAGATCCCAGCTTGCTTCACAGCACTAATGGGGGTACGCGGGAAGTGGCTCTGCACAAACCAGTTGTCATATTACAGCTGTTTTTCTGTTATAAAAGACTCCCATAGCTCCCAATAATGAAAAATAGACTGTATATACAAAATGGTTCTGAAGCGGCATAAATATTTATCAGAGATTAGCATTTCAAGTTAATTAGAGGCAGAGCTGCTGCATGTTATGTATGTGAGATAAGACCACGTAGCCAAAATGCGACAAAGGCACTCATGAATTAATTTTATACTGATCACAGTAAATGATCAGTATAAAAAGTATCAGACAGGCAGCTAATTTTATTAGGTATACTTTAACCGTATTAGTAAGTGACTGTTTTAAAAAGTTGTAATGGCAATCTAGAGTTAATTTGGTTTGTTTCTTGCTTTTTTTTTTTTTAATTGTCAGGTATAATGTACAAGTCATATATGTACATGCTAATCTACAGTCCCACGGCAGACAGTATCAAGGAACTGAGCTGCTCATGAACCTCAAGACATCTTAATTTTTCAGACACACCAATATATGGTGAAACAACATTATTCCGCATTAATCTAGCCATGACATCCGCACTAGCATAGACCATCTCAGCTAAGTATTTCAAAACAGTTCACAGAGATCAAAAAATTAATTTCTCAATACCTGTGTAATGTAAAACCTAAGTTATAGCCATTTAAATGAGAAATAAAACCAGGAACTTTTTTCACCAAATGAATTAAGTTGCACTCTTAAAATATCAATTTACACAAGTCATCTAAAGGTGATCTGCAAAGACAGTCATCCCTCCCCCCTCAAAAATTCCAGGGAATACAGCCCACCAATCACTATATAGTCCAATCACTGGACTACAGCTGAAAGCAAACAAAGAAAAAAAAATTCACGTTGCTAAAAGCAAAAGGCTGCACTTACCTTTCTCTCCATCTGAAATAAGATCTCTTTCTCCCTTTTGAACAATTGTCAAATTCCCCATGGCTTGGCTGAGTCTTAATACACATCCATGATGATCACTACTGTCTACGGGGTCTCTAAGCTACAACACAAGAATTCCATACACAGTACATATTTTCCAACTAGAACAACATATTCTAGCACATGCTACTTCAGCATATGTATGGGGAGGGGGGGCTGGGGGAAGCGGCAGCATCAGTCTTTCCAGGTACTTTTTTCTATACCTACTGCAGTGCCAAAAAATGCATAAGAAAGGGTCGTCTTTAAAAAAAGAACTCTGTTTAAGAATATGCATTGCTGTGGCAATTACCCCATGAAACTGAAACTCAGAGAATGCTTCTCTCGCATATAAGAAACAGCACATAATGTTTAACCCAATAATAAGTTGTTTAAAGACTAAAAGACTAAACTTGCACATACTTAAATACCAGAAAGGAAAACAGCTCACCATGGCTTCATACAGCCTACTAAACTCCATATAGTTCGGAGTAAGAATAGCTCGCTGGTAGCCTTGAATAAGAGAAGGCTGCTGGGAAATGAGCCACAGTCCATCCTGCAAAAACGAAAAAGAACAACATTTACTGAATAGATTCTTAAATCTCAAACCACTGACTGGATCAAGAAAATACTTACAGCATCAATAATGATGGGAATTCCTTTCACTTTTGATTTTTCTATAATACCCTGCAAAAAATGCAGACAACTTTAAGATGCTTTTGCTAATTTGAATTTCGTAAGATCCAAAACAAATTCTTACCATAAATCTGATCATGTAAGTTGATATTAGTAAGAAAGATAGAAAAAAACCTGTTACATTCTGCAAACTAATGTAAGACATTTTCCTATCAACTGGCAATTTTACAGTTACATTGTTCTCTCCCTGATTCAAGTATAAGCAGCGTCAACAGGGTTTCTGTAAGTGATGCCTTGGCGTTGATATACAAACAAGCAAACAATTCTCTTCCTGCTGCAGGAGGCATGCAATGCCAACTAAGTCGTACATTGTAAACATACATCTCCAAATAATAATAATAAAAAAATCCAAATGAGTACTGCCATGACAGAAATCTGTAACTATAACACTAATTTTAGTTGCTTTTCTGATGACAGCCCCATTGGGGTGTTTGAATTTACTTATGAACACACACCCGAAGACAAGCAGTACAGAAAACATGTCATTCCACTCACAGCCCTGCAGGTTTTATACTTTCAACAGAAAACCAAGGCAGCCCACACAACAGACCACTTGCAAAAGTGTTTTTCAGCAAGCCGACCAACTGCCCTTGTTCTCTCTCCTAACCGAGCAGTGGCAACAACTGATATTCGAGCTTTTTTAATGAGCAATGGCTGACAGTCAAGTTTTTTTGAATGTTGGTCATTACCAACTTGTCTTTGAAGCTGGAGAGTTTATCTTTCTCCTGTATAAGAGAACAGAGGACGGCATCCATCCAAAAGTCTAATTATTTTTTAATGTTATTAAGCTCTTCAGAGTAGCTATCATACGGCACTGAGCTCCACAGGTTAGCAAGACATTATGTAAGGAGTAAGGGAGTAGTTTTTAATTCATGTTCAGAGTACTGAATGTATCTCTGTTCTTGTATTGTGCTCAGAATAAACACCGCCACCTTGTTTCCTGTAAATTATTAATTATGGCATATACATATCCTCACTACCTCCTTCCTACCCGATTCTGATTTTACCAACACCAGTAGAAATCTTCCTCTTCTATTTTTAAACGGATGACCAGAATTTAGCAGCGTGCTTCAACCCAACACTACTTTTGTTTGTTTGGGCACTGTTTGCACGTTGTAAGTGTGAGACTGAAACACCACCCACTGCTCCAAGCCTGAGGACTTGTCTCTACACACAGCTGCAGCTACACTGGAAGCCACTACAGAATAAAAACCTTCCCATGACAAACACACGCTTGCACAGCTCTTGGCACTGTGTGTCAGACTGCAAGGTGCCCACCCTTGCCACGATCCCAAGGGAACACCAAAAGTCTTCTCTTATATTCAGCTACTTAAATAATTTCGAACCAATCGCAAGTTTTACACAATTCGTGTCATTCAGTTACTACTAATTATTCAAATTTATGAATAAGTATATTTAACAGCTGTGCCAGAATGGAATCTTAAAACATACCTAGAATTAGTCATGGCATACCAAAAGCCAGCAAGCCTCACTTTCAAAGCTTTTAAGATATTTATGAGACAGTCATTTCTTTATTTATTAATGTTAATCTGCACAGATGTGCACAGCTCAGTTTTCCTTCACAGAAGCTGTGCTGCTTCGCGCCTGCTGCGTTAAGTTCATTAACAACTAGGTTTAATTTGACCCACTTGGTTATAATAAAATAAGGCTGTGGGTCTGACAACCAGATTTATGATTTTTTTTTTTCCCCCTGTACAAATGAATGTTATACATCCAACAGTCCAATTATTTTCGAACCATACTAAGCTCTTCTGATTAGACATCATACGGCACTGAGCCCCAGAGGTTAAGCAAGATACTATGTAAGAAAGCATTCAGATCATCCTCCCCCAGCCTGTGAAGTTACAAATATCATTTACTGCAACCTTGTTTTCTAACCGGTTTTAATCAGAGTATTTTTGTACGTTAGCAGCTTCAAACTCCTTCAGTACACTTAAAATGATTACTGCTCCACTTCCCACTAACATGAATCACTAGTTTATTCTAGTAAGCCAGTCTTTCATGACACTTCATTTTTTCAAAGCAAAAAAGATTTCCCCAACAGAGTCCATAACGAAGTCCGAAGCAAGACACCAAATCTCTGAAGTCCTTATCCTTCCAAACTAGTCTCTTAAACTCATTATGAACAATCCATGGAAATAATTTTGCCAAAGTTCTGATGCTGAAACAGTTAAAGTTTGGCTGCTGCTGTTATTGTTTGGCCCCTTTTCATGTTTCCTCACAACTGTCATCTTGACTCCCAGTTAGAACTGCTATTTTTGTCTATACGTATATCTAACAACAGGCTAAATCAAAAATCCCAAAGATCCATTGTCCACCAAAAGAATGCAAGAAAAAAAAAAAAAAGGTGGAAGTTACAAAGCATGAAAGTATAGGCGCAGGTAAACAGCTTCTGGAAGGCTGGGTCACTGGTACACTCCAGAGAATAAGACATTTCTTCCTAATAACATTTTGTGTTCCTACCTCTCCAGCACGTCCTCCACAATCCTGAGACATTTGACCTCTGCTCCGAAGAGAAATCTCATCTTGCTAAGTAAAACCTACTGGCCAAACAACTTTTATTGTGTACCAAGTCCCTGAGGTATCAGTTTCTATTCTAACACACCAAGCAATCTTTGCTTTTTCTTTCTCTTCTTATAGAACAAATAAGCAGGGGATACAAAGTCCTTTGTCTTATTTAGAAAGCTCATTTTTGATTAAAAAAAAACCAAACAAAAACCTACCCTAATCACTTTCCTTTCCTCTTCCTTCCTTAAACCCAGACAGAAACTGCTGGAGACAGACAAGGAACCCCAGAGAGGAAGTTCTGGGGAGGAAGGGGGGGAAGAGGTAATCTGGCAATCGTAATAAAGCAGAAACAGAGATAAGAGAACCCCCACAAGACAACCACTGATTTGAAGGACACAACATTCACTGCAGAACCCCTGTTTCCTACTGTCTGTGGACAGGACCCATCTCACCTGCTGCCATTGCAAGCTCACATGGCTCACCACTGGAGAGCAATTCACCCTATCTGGCTTAGGCATCACATTTAGGGTGGGATGAATCACCAACAGACATACCTGTCTCTCCTCAGCTATCACAGAGGGAGCAGAAACACCTTACTGCTTTAGTTTTGGACACTGAGATTTAGGTGAGATGAAGCCCACTTTTAAATACTCTATTACTGCAGTTACTGGATAAAAAAACATATTTGTGCAAGAGGTCTTTACAGGAATAAGCGCAGCATCCACTGTGCAGAGTATTTTGTTCTTGGAAGCAAAAGTTAAGTTTTTCACTGAATCTGTACCTCCACATTTGGCATGGACTTTCCTGGTTTAACACTTCTAGCATACAGAAGAACCTTCACTGTTAATTGCACAATTAATACAGCTCAGCCTAACTCTACTTTCACACCAAAACCTATTTAACGGTTTCTTATAGGACTGTATGTATGAGCAGGAACCATCTGTTCACTTTTATCCTATGCAACAATTATTTATACAGGCAAAGACTTAGAAGAAAACATTGCCAATTAAAAACGCCAAGCAGTGTTACTAAGACAAGACTTGAAATCCAAACACCATCCCCACAAGTGAACAGCAACACATACAGGTATCAACGATAAACCCAAGACATCACCCCTTCCCTTCAAATGGCATTTTGAATATTAAGATTTTGGAGATTCTAGCTCCAAGATATCCCAGTGGGCTAGCTTTTTGTGCACAGAATATATTATACTACAACAGCGGTGGTTCAGCTTGGCGCAGACCAAGGCAGGAGCCCTTCCTTCACTCGATTCCTAAGCACTCGATGACATCCAGAAATGAGGGACTGGGCTCACAGAGCAACCTTGACACTAGTCATTAAGCAGAGAGGACAATGAGGAGGAGGAGAGAGTGACATGCTTCTGTCATCCAACCTCATGACCTACAGCCACGCTGGTTAGCTAAGATACCAAAGACTGCAATGCAGATCCTTCCTCTGTGATACTCACAGCCAGGCCCAAATTTCAGTTGTCTTAACTTTCAGGTAGAGAGTCCTAATAACAGGGGTTTGGGCAGTCTCTTGCTAGAGATATTCTGCTTTGCATGCTAAATACTTGGTGACTCTCCTAAAGAGGGATTCCACAGCCCACGACATTTGAATGAGAAAAGGGAAACGCCCTCCAGCCCACTGCGATTAAGATCAGCAATCATGATCTGTATTACAAGACTGCAGGACTCATGCTAGGACAAATCTGTAGCAAGAGCTTCCTCTCCTAATAATTGAATATCAAAGTTTAAGCTTCTACCCTAATTAAGCCAAAGAGAAAACGACCTGGGACTCACACATCCCATGAAGGTGCTGTGTGGGACAACCTCCCACACAGCTATCATTTGTTAGTGACACCAAATACTCAACATTTAGGAATGCCCAAAATAGTATTTCAGTGATTCCAGTTTTTGGTGGAGGTGGTTGAGGGGAGGAGAGCCAGAGGGGATAAAATTAACCTGAATCTACTCCCACTCTACTCTTGAAATACACAATTTCCTGAAAAATCTTCTTTTGGTGACTGGGTATCCAGGACTCGCATGCAAGCAACCTACTCAGTAAGAACTGAGAAAGAAGTTGCGTCACAGTAGAAACCAGCGCTCTATCTGGGTAAAGGTAACCCTTTCCTGTAACTGGGAAAATTTACAAAGTAAGGGCGAAGAATTCATGTGTTTTAATGAATTCTTCTATTATCATGGAAGCTATTCCTTGAAATGCAATGCATTTAGCTACACAATAACTGGTTTAGCTACACAATAACTTTGGCACTTTGGCATTCAGTGTTTGCAAAGGGAAGAATCAGGAAATTAGAGCCAGTGATTTTAATAAAAGATTGAATTTTAATGAAATAAACAGAAAACCACAACAGCAGCACATATAAAGCCACATCTATCCCACAACAGTAATTAATTTTCACTAAGGATGCATCACATTGTCATCTCTCTACCTTGCAAAGG